TCATTAGGAATGCCATTCCATTTGCCTTCATCGATAGTGTATCCCTTGAGAGTGGGACGTGTGGATTAGTTAGTCTCCGCTTGAAATGCAAGGGACAAGAGGTGCTGATTGGTTTGGTCTATCGCAGTCCAAGCTGTGAGGTAAATGAAGTCCTGCTAAGCAGTCTCAATACTTGGTCACAAAGTGGTCGGTGTCTAATCCTAGGGGACTTTAATGCACCTATGGTATACTAGGAAAATCTGCGAACTGAATAGTCGGAAAGTTCCTTCGAGCAGGAACTAGTTGATGCGGTTATCACATGTGCTCTAGTGTAACATATGAAAGAAGCGACTAGGTACGACCCGGACACTGAATCATGCTTACTAGATCTGATACTGTAGAACTATGGTCTACTATGATATTAGTACTGCTCTAATAATAGACCTAATCCTAAATTTGTAGATTTGTCATGATATAACTGCCTAATCTATAAGATCTTACGTGGAAGTCACACCATCGACTACACCAACTCACTGTATCGTATCAATTACCAATACATGATGTAGAACAAGGTTAGGCTAGAGAAAGAACAATATATTTAATACGAATAGAAGATATAAGGTAACATTCAGCAGAGACCACGCCTGCATGGCCGAGTCATGCCACTGGATCAACTCCAGTCCATTCAATTCATTATTCGCGCCTTCTCCATCGTTAGGTATTTCTCCGCGTTAAATATTGAATATCTGTTTTCTGAGTAGTCTTGTGTTCAGCTTTGAAGATGGTGTGGTTATGATCCAATGCCACTACACTACTCTCCCACCAGAATCAACGTGATGTTGGTTCGACACCAAATTGGATGGGATCGTCGCGCGCCGGAGGTTACCAAGGATAATAAGAATCCTCAGGGTATTGGTAAGCTGAAAGATAAATCAAAAAGAAGGCGGCAGCTTATGGTCGGGAAATACATGTAACAATTTTAAAATATTTGCCTTCATGCTTAACATGCTTGAAATGAAAATTTGGGTGAAGATTATTTGAGCTAGAAAAAACGGGATTACAATAATAATAATAAAACGATGAGTGTTAATAGCCATCGGTTAATAGCTTAACGTATAGGTAATAAGTATTTTGTGTTTAGAAATAGTAAAGTAATCAATATTGTAGAAATGGTAATATTGGTGTTAGTTTTGGTTTAAATTATGAAATCAAACAACGATTATGCCGGTAAGTTGTCCATATGAGTTGAATTCTAATTGCGTCTTTATTAGTAGGCTAACTGAAGGAACAAAAGTATTGCCGTGGAGAAGAATTCCAACTAGTGTTCCAGTTAGTTTGATACGGTTTATTTAGTTATGGGGAGATTTTCTCAACCTCATTTTTACTTGACCGTGATAGAATTTAGTAATACTACTAATACACATGAATGGTTATCAAAATAAAATTTGAACAAATGAGTGATAATTATATGGATTTTGGACAGATAGCTAGCAATAAACCGTTAAACATGAGTGTGTTCGTAAGAGACATGCTCTAGACTCAATGTTCTGATCTGCGATAGACTATTTATTTACACTTGCCGGCTGATGGTGCATACAAGTTAGTTGCACGTATGCAGGCAGAATAGTGTTGATTGAGGATTAGCCAGTGGAAAAATAGGTATTGTTGCTTTAGGTGATTCGACATTATCAGAAATTTGTAGCGTTAAACAATCAGAGCTACCTTGCAATATTATAAATTTTAATTCGAAAGTATTCGTCAAGCGTTAATTTTAGTAGGCTCCAGAGTTTTGATGTTAAACATCTATTTAGCCAAAAACTACCTGAGAATTTAATTATTTGACTAGTGTAGTTGATAGTCTCTAAATTTCTAATTTTATTATCTAAACTATGTACGCATTTTAGGCTGCTAATATGATAAACCAATCCACAAACCCAAATACGATTAGCAACAACGACTATGATGGGTTTATTGATAAATGTTAAAGGCGATTCAGATGATTTCTAAATTTAAAAGACATGAAGATATAGTGCAACGTATGTATGGGCCAGGTTAACATGCAGTTTGTTGACGTATATGACAATTTAAAAATAATGAACATCACTAGAAAAGTAAATTTAAAGCTAACACTGCTTATGAAACTTCAGGCAGGAATATGACGCGTTATAAACATTCCATAAGAAGTTACTGGATTTAGCCTAGGGACATTTACAAATATGTTTCAAAAGCAACTGGAAGATATATACATGTTAAGTACAAAAAAATCATCCAGTAAAATAATTAAACTCGCCTGGGTTATTTTTGAAAATAAGATTATTCAATGAACGACATATATAACGCCATTCGTGAGGAGTAGTAATGATCCAAAAGCATCTAGAATAAAACATGCAGTATGGCGATCACTTCCAGGGTGCTATGCTGTTGAGATTTTTGCCACTCGCTCGGATCAGAACAATCGGAAGAATCCAGATAATTGTGTGGTCGCCATTGAACGTGCCATCTAAAATGACCTTATGATTGCAGAAAACTTATAGCTGTGGTTATGGTCCAATGTCACTACAATCTTCACTCACTATGTGGATGACGTTGCGAACCTTTATTATATGCCACCCCTAGGTAAATGTGATCACGCAGTTTTAACTCTCGACTTCCATATAACTGTCAGTCACGAGCACGCGTCAGCCCAATCCAGATCTAACGTCTGGAAAGCAAATATACCAGATATCATACACTCAGCATCGTTAGTAGATTGGACAATAGACCCAGAGTCCTCAATTGAAACGGCCTGGGACGCATTTCGAAATTCATGCTTAAAAGGTACCACACCCCACACTCCTTGGACTATACCAAAGGGGCTGAGAAACTCCCCACCATGATTCAGTAGGGAGGTCCGCATCCTTCACAGTAAAAGAAGAAAAATGTGGGATAGATTTAGGTTACCGGGGACCGACGAGACAAAATCACAGTACCGAAAAGCTCGGAATACCTGTGCCTCGACACTCCGTAAGTCTAGAAAGTTGCACGGAGATAAAATTGTTGAGGAATTCATAGAATGTCCTAGACGCTTGCATTCCTATTTAACCAAAAGACAAAGAGAAGAGGAACTATTCCTGCTCTATGGGGAAACAGTACTGCCGCTTCATTAGTGGGGGAAGACTTTGGTAAGGTTCAAGTGTTCTAGAACTACTCTAGCAATGTATGTACCATAGATCCCCCCCACACACACTGGATAGCGTGACCATTAAAGAACTCGATGTCTTTGGTCTACTAACTAAGCTTGACGTAGGTAAATCCACGGGCCCCGATGAATTACATCCTAGGCTACTAAAGGAACTATCTAACTTCGTTGCGAACCCTTTAAGTATATGCTTTAACCTATCCGTAACGCAGGGTCGTTTACCAAAAGACTGGAAGAACGCCATAGTATGTCCTGTCTTCAAAACAGGCACGAAACACAAACCTGAGAATTACCGCCTCGTTAGCCTAACTAGTGTGGTTGTTAAAATCTTAGAAAACATTATTCGGAAGGAGCTGTTTGAGTATCTCGATAAAAACCGGATAACAACCGGCTGTTATATAAGTTAAGAAATGTCGGGATTGGAGGCAATCTATTGATGTGGATAAAAGATTTCTTAGTTGAGCGTCAAGAAAGAGCACGGGTGAACTCAAAATTATCTAGCTGGGGAACTGTGCTTAGTGGAGTGCATCAGGGTACAGTTTTGGGGCCAGTGCTACTCCTCTTGTATGTAAATGACCTTCCTCGTTTCCTATCATCATCGGTCTTGCTACATGCTAACGATGTCAAGATATGGAGAACGATACGATGTAAGCGTGATAGCTTAGAACTCCAAAATGACCTGAAGAAATTATCTGAATGGTCTCAAACCTGTCAGTTTCCGATAAATATTTCCAAGTTTATTGTGATGCACATCAGTCGTCAAGGCACAGACACATACACGATGAATAACACTGAGCTACCTGTCGTCCAGACATATAATGACTTAGGAGTCATCGTTAGCCAGGAACTAAGGACTACTGCACACTGCCGTGCAATAGCCGCCAAAAGTTTTAGAACGTTATGGTCAATACGTAGGGCTTTTAGTCATGTCGACGCTAAGACGTTTTTGACTTTGTATATAGTGTTCGTACGTCCTAAACTTGAGTACTGCATACATGCGGCTAGTCCCTGCTTTAAAAAGACAGTGAGCTTCTGGAAGAGGTTCAGAGAACTGCAACTAAGCTGACTCCCGGAACAGTGAATCTTCCGTATGAAGCTCGACTGGCCAAGCTGAACCTTTTCCCGTTGTCATATCGCAGAACTAGAGGCGACTTGATTACAGTTTTCAAATTGCTTAGTGCCAAATTCGCATCTAATATGCCCACATTTTTCTTGTCTCCTAAAACGGAGGATTTACGAGGACACTCCAAAAAAGTTCATAAGCCCAGAACAAATTACTTGTCAGCTGACTATCAACTTTCCCATCGAATCACGAACGAGTGGAATTCATTACCTCAGCACATGGTTGAGACTCTATCCGTCGACTCTTTCAAAAGAAAGTTGGATCAACTGAGAGACCACCATTTCCAGGACTAACACAGGCCATCAAGCCTCCTGTCCTTCCCAAACTGAAACTGAAACTGAAAATCGAAGTTCTTAACAACTGTGTACAATCATTCAGAGAAAATCAGCATTCTGTGCCCATAATACTTTTTGGCCGTGAAAATGTATATATACCCTTATATATCAATAATTGTTCTCCCAATTTCTTCGTTTGCGCTTTCGAAATACAAATGACGAATTCTTTCAAAATTTAATTTCAATTATTTAGTACTAACGACATGTCATGACACCGCATTTTACAGTTTCATATACTAAAAAGTCAATAGTTATGCGCATTAAAGTTAAAAAGTTACAGAATGTTAGGTTCTTAGATCAAAGTCTGAAATATCGGTTATTTCGTTTAAATCGATCATATGATTTTTATTCACATCTATGACCTAGATACTAATACAGAATTGTTATGAATCTCTCCGGGAGGTTTTTTGTAAAGTCGAATTATATACGGGCTGCTAAAGTAAGATAGTTTCATTTAAAATCGTAATTGATTTATTTAATAGGATGAATGGATTCTGTGTGATGTAAGACTTTTAACTGATGATACCGACACATTTTTGTGCATTAAATCACTACCTTCTTCGATTTTATTGAGTGAACATAACAACTGCATAGAGAACAACGTTGATAAACTCCCTGAAAAAAGTCCGTATCGGCCAGAAAACTTTGCCACGAGACCATTCACTGCACTATGTAATCTAAGTGAATATAAATCATGTTCAATGAGAACAGAGGCCGTTAACTCGAGTGCCTCGTTTGCACTTAAACTTGTGCCTTCGAGTGTTTTCGGAAATAAAAAACTTCTCATTGCTACAGAAGATGAGAACGAGATCACCACTTGGTTGGCCATTTGTAAGACATGTATAGGGAAGAAGTCGAGAAATGGCTCTTCAAATAACAGAGACCTGGCATGTAATTTGGGAACGCTTAGCAAATCTGGCAGCTTTATGTCACTTAAACCAAACTCACAGGCTTGTGAAAGTGAATTTGACGATGGACTAATGGACAATGAGGTTTATGAGGCATACTCTTCAGGTATAATTATTTGACCAGATGTTATCATGAGATATAATTTATCATATAGTAACATTTTATGTTCTTGTAAAGTATTAACATGTTTATATTGTTACTTTTCATGACTGAGGTTCAATTGGTGACTTTTTGCTGTTTCAAGATTACTTTGAACACTTCTTTTTATATTTGACACTTGTGTAAATTACTCCAAAAAATTTTCGACGCCGCATTATTCATGACGCACACTCATTCCACATCTTATAGCAGTGTCTGATAGTTAGAAGACTTTCATTACCGCGGGAATTTCTCCATTTACAAAACATCTACATATTTTAAGAGTATACCAACGAATGTTTTGTGATTTTTCTTCATAGAGTAAAGTCAATATAATATGGCGCTTTTTAATCAGCTAGGCACAAAACTCTTGAAGCCTTGGAGTGGACAACACTTAAACAAAATTGGATCTAGCCGCATGATTCTTCTCGCTAACTTTAAAGTGGAGTCAAGACATCTTTTTGACAATAACAACACTTTGATGTGCCACAAGAGCAACGTTATTTGACAAATGTCCTACGAATTTCAGAAAGACAGTTTGACGTAGTCTACTAAATAATGTCAAGTTAGAAATCTAAGAATTAGGTATGATAAAAAAATATCAATATTTGGTACAAATGTCGAGTAACAAACGTGTTAAGCTTATAACTAATGACGAGATATTCATAGGCGACGCAACTTGGATCAAGTTAGAGTTGATTTCTTTCCTCATCCCTATCAACAACGTAACTCAGTTAATGAATACAAGTTTATGCAACCCGTTTGAAACCCTACTTTCTAATGCGATCTATTGATACCATTCAGATGACAAAATCTCTCGAGTCGAACTACCAAGCTAATACCCCTTCATATTTCTAAAGTTCACTCAAAATCCTATTAAATTGTGTACATTATTTTTATTTGATATAATCGGTCAATGACAGAAATGTTAAAACTATTCAACGTTAATCATTTTACAGCTTATACTATGTATGCAACTCTGACTTAATCTTTTAAGAATCATCGTAAAAGGTTTGGTTGCACTATGATGAATTGATCATAGATCAAGTAATACAGTAGAAACACTACTGTCGATGGAATAGAAGAGTGAAAAATTCTACTGAAAACTCAATATCCAAAAATATTAGATAGGTAATATCCTGTAGTATTGGTTAGCAAAGTGACTGAAAAATCATTCTACTGGTTACTTACTTGCACATGCTTATTCGGTTTGTAATGGTTCGATTCAATTTAGCATGTTTTCGTTAGGCATTTTCTTTGATTCCTGTTCTCAAGATTTACTTTAAATTATTTTCTATTGTTTCATTAATTAATTAGTTCTGTTTTCCATTATTTTTGAAAAAGATATAGAGTCATTGTGTGTGTCATCTACTTTTGCAACTTCAAGTGGTGTCCGTCAAGGCTGTCCACTTTCTCCATTTTTGTTTAACTTCATCATAGACCTATTGATGGAAATAACACTCTCGTCGACTGAATTCTCGGGTATTGATCTCCTTCCAGGAGGTCCACTTATCGACTTAGAATACGCAGATGATATAGTCCTGTTTGGTGAAGACGCTGACAAAATGCAGAGTCTTCTGGTAGCACTAAGCAACAATGCCAGAATGTTTGGGATGCGCTTCTCTCCCTCTAAATGCAAGTTGTTGCTTCAGGACTGGTCTGCGTCAACACCTGAACTAAGGACAGGGAGTGAAGTAGTCGAACGCGTTGGCAACTTCACTTATCTTGGAAGTCTGATCAGCCCTAATGGGTTGGTGTCTGACGAAATCTCAGCACGGATTCGAAAAGCTCGTTTGGCTTTTGCCAACTTACGTCACCTTTGGCGGAGGCGAGATATCCGTCTATCAATAAAAGGACGAGTATACTGCGCGGCAGTCCGTTCTGTCTTACTTTACGGCAGCGAAACATGGCCTTTAAGAGTAGAAGACACCCGTAAGCTACAAGTATTTGACCACAGATGCCTTAGAAATATTGCTGGCATCTGCTGGGATCACCGGGTAAGTAATAGTGAGGTTAGACGCAGGGTATTAGGGAATGATGGTAAATCAGTTGATGAGGTTATGAATCTTCATCGACTGAGATGGTTGGGCCACGTGTTACGTATGCCTGAACACCGATTACCACGACGTGCAATGCTAACCGGTGTAGGGGTTGGTTGGAAGAAAGTTAGGGGCGGCCAAACCAAAACGTGGCATCAGTGCTTGAAGTCACTAACTTCTAGTCTGAGCCATGTTGGTAGATGCAGACTACTTGGTTGGGGTCCGCGTGACTATCGTAACCAATGGTTGGAGACTCTTGGTGACATGGCTCAGAATCGATCACAATGGCGTCGGTGTATACACTCCCTGTCTTCCCTTAAACTAAGAGATTAAAATCACTTCATATCTTTCTTTCCACGAACTAATTCTTCCTTCCTATACTATATCCTTATTGCAACCTTTGACCTAACCACTCCTATGAATCCGGTGTTCATCTTGTTGTGCTAATGAGGTATGGCAACCTGGACCGATGCACATATGTGCCTGGTCCTACGTTGTAGCTGACTGACTGACTGACATTGTGTGTGTCCATACAATATTATGAATTTTATGCATCAAGTAATGTTTGCTAAGTAATGTAAAGCGGGCGTTCATGTTATAAATATGTTATTGTACAATCTACTAGATACATTTTGCAAAACATACGAATTAGAAAACGCTACTTGAGATATATTAGATTATCTGGAGCACTGTTACAGATAAATAAAAAACCCTCCTAATTAATTACTGATAACCACAAAACCTTACTATTTTGCCTACAAAAATTTTTAATTTGTCTCAGTTTGTACTTGAAGTTCCTAATTCCTAAAAATACCCAAATGATAATTGGTTTTTATCGTCTCAACCACTCGATGAAAAATATTTTGAAGACTTGTTTGAAGTCCAAGATGCACTTGAGTAAATCATGAAATAAAATAAATGTTAGCTATACCTCATGTTAGTTAACTTAATGACATTATTATTGCATAGAACTGTCACTCATTATTAAAGGGGAGCCAATCATATCTGGCCTTCAATAAAATGGAAATCAACCTTTTATAAAAACATTTAATACCAGTGAATTTTTTTAATGAACGTCATCTGATAGCGTACATCAAGAGCCATATGTAAAACAACTGACAATGAGGGTGCTTGAAAGTAACTATAAGTGGTCACAGAAACCTCATTTATGTACAAAATCAATACCAGTTACCTGAGCTATTAGATACATGTATAGGAGCTTTCTAATGAGACGCAGTTATTTTGGGACTCATTTGTATCTTCAGCGGTTGCAAAATAATTAATATATGTTAAACATTAATAAATAACTGCCACAACGTATTTATGAATTTGTGGAGAAATGGTAACCACCAATCATACCAAATCCGTCAGAATCTCCAGTCTTCTTAAACGGTGCAGTTTTGGGACCAGATTAAAATATATTTTTTACTAACTTCGGGATATTAAAAATTCCTATAGTGTAAATTTGAATAACAAATAAGCTACCCATATTTCTTTCAATTAGATATGCCTCAGAGTTTATTTTACGTGTGCATGTGCATAATATTAACCTTATCAAGGCAACTAATGACAAATTTGAAAAGTATTAAATAAGAAAAGCGTATGAACTGATAATAAGGTGACAGGTGTAGTAATAAGTATGTAAATAATAAACAGCATGATAACATGAACTAATATATTGACATAGGAATCGGGTCAAGGTTTAAAAAAGTAAACTTATTTAATTGATCATGAACTATGTAATAAGGAATGAGTAAATAGTCGGCATGAATATACAAATGGTGAAGAAGAGGGGTGTAGAAAAACCTTCAAAAAAAGGGTTCAAAGGATTGGTAGGGTTGTTTATTGTTGGCTGTCTATATAAAAAAACTGGGCTTACAAACTTCTTTTGAATACAAAGAGCGGTTGTTAACCTGCAGCTTTGTGTGCAGCAGGTTAGGTCGATCCTCATCAGGAAAATGGAATGGTATGCGACAAATCACTGAATCCCCAGTTCTACTTACCATATGATCAATATCAACGAAGTGTAAGTTAGAGGACCTTCGCAACAATTTTGTCGGAACACTTCCAAACTTTAGACCTAATGATTCAGAAAAAAACAACTTATATTTCAAGCATGGATTTGACTCATTTTGCTTGAAGAATCGTACATTATAAAATGTAAATTCCTAAAGTTAGTGCGTAATTCCTGCCCCCCAAAATATGTATAGTTTGTGTCTATATTGTACATCTCATTTTGAGGAATAAATGTTATCAATAAATATTTACTGACATTTGTCAAATGTTGGAACTAACCGAGACTGGTTGTAATAATCATCATTATGTGATGTTTTGTTGAGTAATGAGTACTACGCAACTGTAAGAGGTAAAATAACCTGTTTTTGAAAATGGATTTTCAAAATTCCATCGCATTGGCTTAAAAACAATTTACGGATAAATTTCTCGTTTGAAGAATGTTTCTGTTGTATCTAATAGACACTAGATGGTCCCATGAATATTTAGTTCCTTTCATCATGTTTCACTCTGTAAGACTCATTTAGTTGTCCTTGTCGTAGTTTTAATGTTTATGGTTTTGGAAGTTACTTTACATTTTTAAATTTCTCTATTTACCTTCTTTATAATCATGGGAAAACTGACTGACAAGAAAATCATAAAATGTTTTAGATTCATGGAATGCGCTTGTGGACAGTAAGGCGAGACTCTAACTTACGGACGACCTTTGAATGAATTTTAAATGACCTTGAGAAATATCCGCTAATCAGCAAACAGTATAGAGTAAAAATATATTATACAAAACCATGGAAAAAAAGCGGATACACTTTTTATACGTGGTTCAAAAACTTGTCAAGGTTAAAAAGAGGTTCAGAGGTTCTAAAATCTCAATTCATGCAGTAGAGGAAACCATCCATACGGCTACAGAATAGTCGGCATCTGGAGCCATGATAAAGTCTCAAAGACTCTGTCAGCCTCGACAACGTAGCTTCATTATTGTTTATGTGCGCTACGGTTGTTGAGTGCACAAAATGCTACTTGTAGATAACGACACGATGCACATAACCAAGTCTATGTAGGAGTCTGTACGCTCTCCAACCATCCGTATATATTTTAGTACCTGGCTGCAGCCTGTGTTTCTGGCGCTTTTATTATCCAGTTCGCAATAATCGTCGTAATTTGCCTCAGTTAGGAACTATATATAAGGTTTTCGTCACGAACTGATATGAGCTATAATGCCAGAAATTTATTTAGTCAAATGGATGAAAGGCTTTCGCGTTAAAATCCGAGATCTATTATCTTATACCTGATTGATTCGTCCACAAATTATAGTCTCACCGTTTTGTTGGTTGTAGCCTCTCAATTATCACTGTTTGTACAAAATTCCCTGTGAACCGGTCGTACGTTAGCATTAAGCACTGAAGTTGGCTCCATAACCTTGAAATATCCAAACCGCTTCTGATTGGCTCGTCCATAAATTGGAGTCTCGCCTGCATTTGACCCCAATAATTATGGGTGTTGACTGTGCATACACACAGTAATAAATAGGCTTACGACCTATTGCGATGCTAAATACTGGGATTTTCAAACCAGAACCGAGCGCCTATTGGCATGTTTTCTTCCCTGTATACCACTTAGAACGAAGTGAGATGAATATATTGGAATTTACAGATCCAATATCTAAAGAAATGAAAAAGTAATCATGATACCCAAACTAATGGTACACTTTCGCCATTAGAAATAACAAACAGAAACTGAGTGTTAAAAAATCATTTTGAAAATATTATTTGTGTATAATTCTTATTCGATTGTATGTTAACGAGAAATTGACTGCAATATTATACATTCGACACCTAGAATTCCCGATTGTAACAAAATGTATACCATTGAGTAAAAGTTTTACGATTATCATGTTTTGAGTCAAAGTGTGCCTTGTTCTATCTGGGAGTGACGTTGTGGAACACCGAGTAAATCATTTGTAATGGTATTTCGACCTTGAGTAGTCACTCCTAAATGCAGTTGTGATATTGATTTTTGTTAATAATAATTATTCCATACCACATGTTCAATTGAATTAAAAATTTCTCAGCACAAAACATGCAAAATTGCTACAAACTTCCCGTTTTATATACATTGATTGATTGAGATCTTGAACTGATTGATGTTAGACCACCATTGAAAACCTGGAAGCACTGGATGACCGTTTTGTCCTGTTTTGGGACTCTTCAGCAGTGCGCATCCACGATCCCGCTCGTGGGATTCGAACCCAAGGCCTTCAGTCTCGCGCACAAACGCTTAACCTAGTTGACCTCTGAGCTGGCATCACGCAATTTCGTGGATTGATTGAGGCTAAACATTAACACCGTTAGATGTCGGCTCAGAAGCCAAGTAGGTCAAGCGTTCAAGCGCGAGCCTGAAGGCCCTGGGTTCTAATCCCGTGAGCGGGATCGTGGATGCGCACTGCTGAAGAGGCCCGTAATAGACGAAACGGCCGTCCAGTGCTTCCGGGCTTTCAATGGTGTCCTAACATCAATCGGTTCAAGATCTCAACCAATAACTTAATAATCTCCACAACCATATACTGATAATTACATACATTTATCATGTGAGTATTCGAAAAACACGTATCTGTAAAGTTTTTAAACAGAGATTAGCTGCTATTCATACTCATACGTCATTGTTTACGATCAATTTTGTTTAGTATAAAATGTCTTTTCATCGCTGAATATTTCTGATACACAAATACCGTAGCAATCTCCTTTCATTTCTCCAGACGACAGAGAAAGGGATTTTCCATACTACTGCGATAAGACTTATAGACTTTGTCATTACTTAGGTTTATTTTAGGTTGTAAACAATTTTTGGATCGCGTAAGTGCAAGTAGATCATAGACATAATTAATAAATCAAATTAGGTTTAAGTTGAGCAATAGATATACGTTCTAAAAAATGGATGGAGGAAATGACAACCCAGAAGTTCGAGTTTTTTGTTAGCCATTATAAGAATGTAGAAATTTCAAAATACATAATAAAAAGTTATCATTTTTAAAAAGTCAGTCGGTAACAACGTAGAGCTTTGTACGTACATACATCAGTTCGAGTTGCCATACCACATTGGTACAGAGATATAATTGTCAATTCAAATTCCGTAGTGGTAGAGGTAGTAAAAGTATAAGCAGTAATCGGAAAGATTAGGGTTTGAAGATGTTATTCAAAGGGTATAATCCAGTGAAAGAGAATACAGGGACATGAAGAATTCAGAGGATTAGAATTTGGGAGAACACAAAGAGTGGACGCACCTGCGCTATTGCAGATGATTTTGAGCCATGTGAATCTAGGTCTCTAACCATCGGTTGCTATCATCTCGCGGATCCTAACCAGGTAGTCTACACTTACCAAGATGGCTTAGTCCACTTGTCTGTGACTTGATGGGTTTGTGCCATGTTTTGGTCTGGCCGCCCCTAGGTTTTTCCACCCTACTCCTACACCATAAAACATCGCAGGTCGGGGTGGTTCGTTGTTGTGCATACGTAACACGTGTCCCAGCCATCTCAATTGATGAAGTTTCACTACTTCATCAACTGGTTTGGCATCCTTACCTAGTACCCGTTTCCGAACAACTGCGTTACTTACTCGATAGTCCCAGGATATACGAGCAATGTTTCGAAGACACCTATGATCGAATACTAGTAACCTACGAATATCGTCTACTCTTACCGGCGATGTTTGACTGCCATAAAGTAGGACGGAACAAACAGCCCTGACGAACATCACTTGAGGTAATCAATTCTAATGACAGTTCGCCATAAGCTCTCACTTGACCATGTGTGTTCGAGTAGAGAGCTTTCATAAAGTTAATGCACTTCTTTGGTACTTCTTTCGGTGACACACACTGCCACAGAACCTCACGATCAACATAGTCAAATGCCGCCTTAAGGTCGAGAAATACGACGATAGTGGGACGTCTGAATATGTTTCTATGTTCTCTACTTATTCAGTGAAACGGGGACGAAATTGTATTTTGGTTCAAAGCACATTCTGGGATGCGTGGTTTATTGCTGCGTGCTTCGGTATCTAGTATGAGAATTCTCTGTAGTGTGAACTTCGACCTCAGCCGGAGATCGAACCAAAGACCTTCAGTTCTCGCAATGGACGGTTAACATCTAGGTTCACTGAGTTGGCATAAACTGGTACAATTTTGAATTTGGTCATTTTGTGAAAACTGTCTTATTCCTGAAATTTCTGAACTTCATCACCCACGACCTAGTGATTCTACGGGTCAGTCGTTCCGTCTAAAATCCGAAGGTCCTGAGTTCAATCCCTGTTCAGGTCGTTGGCACATACTGATGAATAGTCTAATACTAGAATGAAACAGCTGTCCAGTGTTCTCTGGATCAATTGGTACTCCAACAGTGGCAGATACAGTTTGCAAATATGACTAACCCCCACAAAATCCCTTCAACTAACCATATTAGACTAACCAGTTTGGTAGTAAGATGGGTGTTAATCAATAATATTCAATGTATACCAATATAAGTTTCTAATTTAACGATAGTTTAAAAAATGCTAACCACAGAACTTTGGGCGAATAAGGGAATTCTACAATGCACGTAGATATTAAATCCACGGGTTTTTTTACTGAGACCGTAGATAATCATTATTGCGAAGTCCTAAACTGTGTCGAAATAGCCGCCAAGTATTCTTTGATTTTTACTGGTGTATTATCTTTTAAACTATTAGTGTTTTTGAAGAGTCTCAATAGTTCTACAAAAGTGTAAAGTGAGAAATGTTATAACTACTACTAAGGTAAATGTTTGGCAACTTTCATTTTAGCGGGTGACTTACTCATTTGTAGTATTGTCTTTACTCTTTAATTGAAAGCTTCAACGAAAAAAAAGTCAATAAAACTACATCTATTTCTTTTTTTTCCCAGCATACTTTCAACTTCTATACTCATTGATTTGTTCACTCTTCAACTATTGATTTTTTTTATAGAAGATAAAATTCCTGCACTTCTTGAAGAAGCTGGTGATTGGATGAAATTACATTTATGTCAACCAGATTGTTATTTACGTTTAACAACAGATCGTTTAGAAGTTTTGGATTTTTACAGTCATAAACCTGTACACTGGTTTCCCTACCTACTGATACGTAGGTAAGTCTATAAAACAAAATAAAAAAAATTTTCTCTAAAATTATTTATCATTGTTCATGTTTCTTTTGGTTAAGCATTCTTTATTCTTTTTATTCTTGGACACCTATTTAATTGTTGGAGATTTTGAGGTTGCACTTAAAATCAATATATGATTCCTTTCTGTTGTCTATTTTAAACAAATGGGTTTTTCTGTATATTATAGTAATTTCAACGGTTAAGATCATGAATCAATTGAAGCTAAACCACTATGGAAAGCCTAGGAGCACTGGACGACCGTTTCGTCCTATTGTGGGATTCCTCAGCAGTGCAAATCCACGATCCCCAACCCCCGCGAAATTCGAACCCAGGACCTATCAGTCTTGCGCGCGAGAGCTTAACCACTAAACTACTGACGATTCCCATACTAGGACGAAACGGCCGTCCAGTGCTTCCAGGTTTTCCATGGTGGTCTAGCTTCAACTGACTCATGATCTTAACCATTGATATTTTAAACAGTCAGATAATACAAAATTTAAACTTATAACTAATTATTAATAAACCTCATTTAAAGAAATAACATTAATTAGTTACTCTCAAAAATTTTTTGGAATGTGAAAGTTGCTAGAAGGTAAAGTTCTCTTAGAAATAATATTGATCAATATCACTTTTGTATTATTATTGAAATATTATAAACAGAGTTGTTTATTATCAGAAGGGATTTTGTAGAGATTTTAGTGATTTCAATAGTTGAAACCTGGAAGCACTGGACGGCCGTTTTCGTCCTAGTATGGAAATCGTCAGTGGTTTAGTGGTTAGGCGCTCGCACGCGAGACCGATAGGTCCTGAGTTCGAATCTCGCGTAAGGCGTGCGGGATCTTGGATGAGCACTGCTGAGGAGCCCCATACTATGTCGAAACGGCCGTCCAATGCTTCTAGGTTTTCCATAGTGGTTTAGCTTCAATTGATTCATGAACTCGATTATTGAGATTTAATAGTCACTTAACATGTTTTTCATAATAAATTTTCCTGTGTAATTGAGGATGTTTTCGAAATTATATTTGGGTAATTTATGATAATGTGTTCGTTACTAAATGGAGAAAAAATGGGTCTTTGATTTTGTTAAATTATTTGATATTGTATATTCTGGCCACTGAGACAATTAATACGGTCCATTAAATTTGTTGTTTAACAAATATATAGAGATATGTATGTTTAGTCAATACATATTCTTCTAATGTGTTCATAATAGCTATCCAGAATTGCGCTTACACTGATGTCATTGAAATATCATTCTAATCGTAATGAATATATTGGTGTGAGTGGTAAATCATAATATTTGAGTTATTATTACTATATTAGCATAGGAAGTTTGTGGAGATTGTTGAATTCTACAGTTTTCACCACAAGATAACCTTCGTTAGACAACCAATGAAAGTCGAGAGTTAGTGGACAACTGTGTTTCTTCAGTGTCTAGCAATTCTAAGCGATGCGCACATTCACAACCATTCTTAGAATCAAACCTAGAAGCCAGCGATTATTCTTTGAACCATATTATGTATAAGGCATACATTACTTACCGACTAGGTCGGAAGATGATTGCGCAATATTGCCAACTCATTAGTCTGGTAGTTAACTGTTCAATTCTGGGTCAGAAGATTCTAGGTTCGGTTTCTAGAGGGGTCGTAGATGTGCACTACTGAGGATAATTCTGCTAGAATGAAACAATTGTCTATTACTTTTTTGGGTTACACGGATTCCTTAACGGAATACATCTTTTGACAAAAATCCGGTGTTCATCTTGCTGTGCTAATACGATAAGGCAACTTGGACCAATGCATATATGTGCCTGGTCCTACATTGTAGCCGACTGACTAAATCGTAAATTACTTCAATTAATTTATTTTCAAATGTGAAACATTTTCCAGATTCTACGTAGAATTATTCAGTAAAATGAATTCGTTTCAGGTTTCTCATATGACATTGTTTTTTACCAAATAATTTCATCATGCTGTGTAGATGCAGTTTTTCTTGTTACACTCTCTTATATAATCATTGAAATATATAAAATTGATTTAGTTTTGTTAAACAATTTTCCTAGAAAAAAGATCTTACTCTTATTCAAAAGGTGACTGTTAGTTTGTTTATACAATTTATTTTATTAAAATTGACTTCACAGACATCAAGGATAAGGAGTGAAGTAGTCGAACGCGTCAATAACTTCACTTATCTTGGAAGTCTGACGAGATCTCAGCACGGATTCATAGAGCTCGTTTGGTTTTTGCCAAATTACGTCACCTATGGCAAAGGTGAGATATCCGATTATTAATTAAAGGACGAGTATACTATGCGGCAGTTCGCACTGTCCTAATTTACGGCTGCGAGTAGAAGATACTTATAAGTTACTAGTAATTGACTACAAATGTCTCAGAAATATTGCTGGCATCTCCTGGGATCACCGGGTGAATAATAGTGAGATCAGACGCATGTTATTGGGGAATGATGGTAAATCAGTCGATGAGGTTGTAAATCTTCATCGACTAAGATGGTTGGGCCATGTGTTACGTATGCCTGAACACCGTTTACCATGACGCACAATGCTGACTAGTGTTGGGGATGATTGGAAGAAAGTTAGGGGCGACCAAACCAAAACGTGGCATCAGTGTTTGAAGTCACCAACTTCTGATCTAAGCCATGTTGTAGATGCAGACTACTTGGTTGGGGTCTGTGTGATTGTCGTAACCAATGGTTTGAGACTCTGGGTGACATTGCTCAGAATCGATCATAAGGGCGTCGGTGTATACACTCTTTGTCTTCCCCTAAACTATGAGATTCAAAGTGCTTTATACCTTTCTTTCAACAAACTAATTCTTTCTTTCTGTATTATATCTTTATATACAATCTTTCTTTTATACATTACCATCACTGAAGTAACTTCTTTGAATTTGGTGTTCATCTTGCTGTGCTAAAGAAGTGTGGCAACTTGGACAGATGCATATATGTTCCTGGTCCTACATTGTAACTGACTGACTGACTGACTCAAAGACATCAACCATCAGCTCATATTTGTAGAGTACTATGTATCTAGACTTATTAAATAGATCTTAATATTTTCTTTTTCCAAGAATAGTGATTAAGATAACTAATCTTATTCAGAATTAGTAAATATCTTCATTCCTAATACATGAATAAATGAAAGCTATAATTATATACAAAGTCATTTCATTCACAGTCGAATTCACTTATGAGTACAATTAAAGGTGATATTCAACAGAAACTTATTCAATGAAATCAATTTAGCATCTGTTATAATCTTAATAATCATTTTCTTATGAAACCAACATTTTAATCTTGAAGAAATACTTCATAGTTTCATCACAATCCTATATTTCAATAGAGTTTAACCGATTTAGACGGAAAAATTAACATTGGAATGACAAGACAGTCACATAAATGTATCTATCAGAGTCTTTCTTCGGTTCGGGCACCCAGGTAGTACCACAGCCTACACACAAATCAAGTGTTATGTATGACGCATATGTATTCGGTGCCCCATTGTACCAATATTTATGTGTTCAAATAAACAAATAAATAAAATTCTATCAAAGTATAAAATTTTTATGTGTTGAGACCACTGGCTAATTTCATATGTCCAATCACCAGTCGGAATCCTAATTCTAATTAGGTCTATTTAGCGTCCACTATTGCCTAGACTGTCAAGTCTCCACAAATCGACCAATCACACACCTGACCAATAGCACTGAGCCGACAACTAAGCTTCATTTATTCGCAATCTCTTCTTTATCCCTTGCATTAAGTCCAGAAGTTGCAACCGGCTTCTACAATATTTATATTTTAAATAGATATAGTTTATATACTGACACTTTCGTCTATAACATATGAACTGAAAACTCATTGAATTCATGTAATCAAACATATGATTACATTCATCTTACTATTGATGGTGACTGAACTTTAGAGGCTTTTTTGTTAGTTGATCAATCCATGTAGGTTTTTTGTAAATAAATCTTAAATTACAGGGTTGTAAAGATTGTTGGATTTGAATTGAAACCAAAATTGAAAACCTGGAGGCACTGGATGGCCTTTTCGTCCCAATAAGGGACTCTTCAACAGTGCACATCTACGATTCCGAGCTCGGGACCCGAATCCGGGACCGAATGTGGAATCTCTGTCATTTTAGCATCCATAAAGTAAATGTTTAGTTGTCATATCAAACCGTACATTTTTTCATTGGGCGACAGCTATTGAAGGTCTTTAGATTGTTACTCAAGTCACATTTATTATCACAAATAAAAGTGTCATCTGTGTACCTTTTCTAAAGGGTGGAATTTGTTGATACTTGTTTTATTTTTCTGTTTTCATTGCCTTTCCGGTAACATTTCGTTTGGATTTCAACATTTTATCTTATTATGACTATAGCTTTGAAACATGATCCATGAAAGCAGAAAATATACATACGGTGTAGGTTTTCGCTAACTAATCGTGAAATAACGGAGTGAGCAATAGTGAGGTTAGAAATAGAGTACTAGATGAAGATGAAAAATCTGTCAGTAAGGTTGTAAATCTTCATTGACTGAGGTGGTTAAAAATTGTGTTATGCATCCCCAACCATCACCTACCTTGATAGACAGTGTTAGCTAGTATAATAGTAAGTTAGGAGAAAACTAGGAGAGATCAAACCAAAACATGGGATCAGTCTGTGAGATTGTTGACCATTGTTCTCAGCCATGTCACTAGGTGAAAACTATCCAGTTAAAGCTCACGTGATTATTGTGATCAGAGGTTAGAGACATTGAGTGAGAGGTCTCAGATGTAGTTACAAATGGACAGATACATTCACTATTTATTTTTCATATGATCTTCCGTCCAATTATTCGTACATCATCTGTTTTCATCCTATCTTTTCGAATCATATTTTCGCTTTTTTGTCTTTCGTTGTGATAACTACATTATTTGGATGCCTTCACTACTCATTTATCTTGTTAATTTCATATTATCGGGAC